TTGCCGGCAAGCGCTGAATCAGAAGTAATCAATAGATTTCTAAACCGATTGGGCCTGGATTTGTTACAGAAATGACTATTTTGACTAATTTCATTCTCGAAAAATGACTATATTACTGGAAAATTGTCAAAATAGTCACCTGGTCATGTGGCTTGCAGAATAGTATTTTAAAACCCTTCCCAGCATCTTTTCATACTAACAAGCAGAATTATTACATGCATCAAAGTATTATGGCAATATTTTTGAGCTTTAGACGTAATCATATGATCACTTGGGTTGTCAGGCATCCTTCATTCCACGATTTGCTTCGAGCATAATACCAACATTTCATCTCAATGTCTTCCTTTTCTTTAGGTGAATTGTCTGAAGGTTTATCTAAAGCGTTTGACTTCATCGTCGACTCGTACCATTTACTGAAGAGAAATATCAAGCATGCAAATGCGCCTTTTGATCAGCCTTATCTTGAGCCAGCGCAATGGTTTTTGACAGAGGAAGAGATGATACGATCACGGAACGGATCTCAGAGGGATGGTTTGGATCTCTACACGACCGGCAATTATGTGGAGCTATATGTTGCTTCTGCTGAGTTTTTCAGTGACGTCGCCGACGACATTATATCCTTGGGTCAGGGAGACCTAGTGTATCTCACAGGATGGGGAACGAGTAATGTGCCATTTAAACCGCAAGAATCCGACACGAAGCTTTGTGACTTAGCTGAGGGTGCTGTCAATCGTGGTGCTGATTGGCGAATGCTAGTGTGGTCTAACATCATGGAACGAGCTCAGAACCATGAGGTGCGCGACCTGATCAATGCACTACCACCACCGGAAAAGTATGGTCCGGCCCGTTTCGTATACGATGATCGTCTACCATTTCCTACTTCTTCGCATCATCAAAAGTCAGTGATTATACGTAAGGGTCGAGAACTTCTAGCCTATGTAGGTGGAGTTGACCTTACGAGTGATCGCTGGGATACCGTCGAGCATGATCAAGCCGAACTTCGTGAACGTACAGGAATCAAGGCCCAGTATAACGGCTGGATAGACGCCCATGCTCGCGTGGAAGGTCCTGCTACCATAGATATAGCGCAAAACTTCCTAGACCGTTGGAATTCAGAGCCCAAGCCATCACAGGATTTGATGGACAATCTACTCGACTTCGAAAATCCTCCCTATTCAGCACTCCCTAACATTGATGAGACGCCACTGGATATAATTGATTATGGTCCTCACGCCGTGCAGGTGTGCCGCACATACAGTCCAGATTATCGTCACTATGATTTTGCACCGCAAGGCGAGCAGTCCATTTTCCACGCACGGATCAAAGCTATTCACAATGCTCAAAACTACATTTTTATCCAAGATCAATACTTTATTCTGGTACCAGAACTGCTGAAAGCAGTTATTGACATTATGCCTAGCATTGAGCGACTCATTGTCATTATGCAGCGGTCGGTTGAGGCAGAATACACAGGCTATGCTAAGTACCTCTTTGACATGGTGTCTCCTATTCAAGAAAAATTTCCCGCTAAGTTTAAACTTTACACAACGAAAAAAGCGCGCGAGCTGTACATTCACAGCAAACTAGTTATTGTCGATGATGTGTACGTGTCGTTGGGCTCTGCCAATTGGAACCGCCGCAGTATGACAAGTGATACGGAGATCGGTATTAATATTGTGGACACAGAGCTGATAAAGTCACCGGATGAGATCATGGTCAATAAACTCGCTCGCGACTTCCGAATTCAAAAATTTATGGAGGCGACAAAGTTGTCATACGATGAACTCGACGCTATGACGTTTCTCGAGGCATGTGATGCATTAGAGGCTGCAGCTCATGACGATGGTATAAGTTTAATTGAGCCATATGCTGCAGAATACAAGGCGCAATTTCATCTTGTGTCGGATGGTCTCCGCCAGATCGTTGATCCTGATGTAGTCGAGAAAATGACCAGTAAGTAAGTAGTCTTCTGGATCACCATATCTAGTCAATGTATAGCACACCAACTTATTTAATAAATAATTGGAAATCACGAAGCTGTCAACACCAGCACGTCATTTTGAATGCAGCTAACACCATAGAAAGAGTCCAACATTGTCTTCACACGCACTTGGCGTAACTCGACCTTACAGTTTGTGGAGATGTAATTATCGAACTACGGGTTTGCTCACATCACTAGCGACCTCTCTTATTTACTTTGTAATTCACTCATTTTTTGCTCATGGTCTCACTTTTATGTATATTTCAAAGCATAAAACAAATGGTTTTAAGCACGTCCGAAGTTCGTAGTTTTGGTCCGGAAGGTGAGTATATTTAGTAGTACTTTACTTATCTTTAAGCTTCGCTTATGTTGATCGTCGATCTTAGCGACTTCTTAACCTTCTCTAGCCACGCGTTTCCACAATTTCCGAAGGCAGTGGGATTCGGCTCTTTTTGCACAAAAAAAATGTCACGGAGTGAATTAGTTACACACAAACGTCCGATAGTGCCTAAGGAGTAAAACTAGCTTTTGATGTTTTCATCTTATCCTTGGCAATCTGGTGATCAAAAATTTGTGTAGACTATTCTCAGCAGCTGGTGACCCGAATAGTAATTTAGCCTATCTATATAGCCTACTACTACTGTTAACTGATGAAATAGTCTTGTTTAAATTTGCGATGCAATTACGCCATTGATAAATGTGCATAAGTGAGTTTGAATACCATGAATATTATAAAGGAAAAAAGTATCTGAAAATCGACATTATGGGGAGCTACCAATTTTACAACATGGTTTGGATCTTAATTCAGTCTTTTGCCCTCTCAGATCAATTTACATGGAGTACATTTCCATCTTAAAAAAGATCATTGTGACTAAAAACCCAAGAGCACTCATCAAACCGCCCAAAAAGACTGGAAGTTTGTAACCAAGCGACGTTTCAACAAGACCAGAACCAACGGCAAAGTTCAGAAGTTGACCAAAGCAATTGGCTGAGTTTAGAGCACCAACGTACATACCAATATCCTCGTCCGGACCAAAGACATGAACGACGGCGGGTACAATGAGCGAGAACCATGCAGCTTGGGTAATACTGGTGGTAGCAACAACAAAGACATTAAACGTCACATTGCTCGTCCACGCCATGATCATCAAAAACATTTGAGGAATTGTCGAAACTGTTAGAAACCACCTTGCACCAATTTTGCTTACAATAAGTGGAATGGTCCAAGAGTAGAGATAACCAATGACGTTAAAAAGCAGATCAGCTCGACCGCCAGCAATGCCAACTCCACGGTTGTATGCATCTTGCTCAGGAGTGCAAGGATCACACGTATCAGCGTTATCCGCCGAGCCATTGTAGACTTCCAAACCAAAGAATTGTCCTTTGTTTCCGTTGTACGCTGTGAATCCGTATTGAATGAAAAAGAAGCCGACACCATAAATGACAAGTACACCAGGAAGCGTGCGTATACCGGTGTACACGGACGCAAAGGCGTGTCCAATTCGACGACAAGTCGATACAGCATCGACCTTGCTTGCGTCAAGTGGAGTCTCTTTTGAAAAAATTACAGCAACAGTGATGCAGATAAACATTGTGACTGACAACATCCACATAAATTCATGAAGCGTCTTGTGAGCTGCTCCAAAGAACTCAATGTAGCCAGCAACCAGGAGGGAGCCCAGTGTTGACCACGCTTGACTTAAAGCAGCACCCGTTGTCTGGCGATCACCGGAAAAATCTGCGACCAGAAGCATAGCTGGAGTTTGTACGACGTTGACAGTGATGTCCATCCACAAATAGAAAAACACAGTCAGGATGGCTGTGAACGTCCGGTCGGTTGGCTGATCGTCTTGACCGCTGCCATGGTCACCCAAAGCTTCGCCCATTTCACGTGTGTAACTCATGGCAATCCAGCAAATGATGCTCAAAGTACCTGCAACAACAAGGTACGGACGACGTCGACCGAATTGGGAGGTAGTACGGTCGCTGAGGACTCCGGCACTGGGACCAACTAGCACGCCGACAACAGGGCCAATAAATTGTGTGATTTGAACGGCGAATCTTGGGAGCATTGTCGACAGGTACGGACCAAGAGCGGCCCACTGCGCCGACCAAGCCATGGTGATTGCCATACGTGGCATTGAAACAGCAAGAAGTAGCCAGATAGGCGGGTGCGACAGTTGAGTATTTTCAGTGTTGCCCTCCTTGTAAACGTGCTTGGGTGAGCTTTCAATGTCAAAACCTTTATCGACATCGGCCATGGTGAAGGAATGGACTCTGGTAGTTAGAGTAAAGAACGTCAGCCCAAGAGGGCAAGTTGGAAAATGACTGAAACTCTTAGTCTACTAGACTTTTAACACTTGAAGAAAAGCATTTTTTTTGCAACAATAACAGCCAGAGCGATGGTCTACATAGTACAGACCTCTGTTGTCACCTCGGGCAGATGGGAAATGCTGGGCAAGACTTGCGGGCTGGACTACGTGCGGCTGATCCGTTTCATGACGAACGAAACAAGTTCGTGGTTTGGATTGCAACTCTTTGAAAATATGGTTTTTAGATACTGTATGATGTATTCCTCCTAGCAGGCGCATTCTCTGGCTCTACATCTACCGATCGTTTTAATTCTTGATTATCATAAAATATGACATATCCGCGGGTATTGTAAGAAGACAAAAGTTCCTGTGATATATTGATAGTTAGCTGCCTGTGTGCTATACATTCAAAGCAGGAGACACGCGGACGTTTGTGTTTATTTGGATATAGTAAATGAAACTGAAGCACGAAAGGCGATTTCTCGATCACTCTGAAGAATATATAATTTGAAACTGCCTTAGAATCACACGACATAATCTTAGACTGTACAAAATCTAAAGCTAAGACGGGACACGAACATATGATTGAAGCTCCTTTCATGAGTCCGTACTGCTTCCAGCACCACGGCTTTCCCTATCATCAAATCTCATTTCTTCTTCTTGGATCATTTAGGTGATCTGCTGAGTAGTATGAAACGCTAACATTTGTCTTGTTGTACAGCAAATGCGCCAGTCTTATCCATTTAGGCTGCGAAGATTAAATCTGAATTTCCAGACATATTGAAAGTCTTCAATATGTGGAGGTCACTAGAGACAAGATGTGCTCAATCACGTGTCGACGATAATATCATCAATCGTCTCTGAAGCAAATGATAAGGCAATGTGAATGCTGAATCACTTAAAATTTTGACGCCAAAGCTAAAGGTTCGATAGGAACATATAGCTCCTCGCATGGGCATTTTTTGCCCCATTTTATAAAATCAAGGAATTACATAGAATTAACAAAGAGTCTTTCTCTGCAAGCTCCGATAATTTGAATTGCGTCGACCGACGACATCTCCTCATAACCTGCCCGAATCTTTCTATTCCCGCACGTTTCATCCTATTTCCCATCATCCTCCATTAGCACCACAATAATTATGATCGACAAGGTGCGAGGTATCAACTGACAAGAGTGGTAACATCAATCACTTAGTAGCATAACGCCGCCACACATTTGGTCGGCAAGAACGAATTTGTGTCAGATTGCCTTTGTTGATGACGCTGTAGTAGCGAGGTGCAACTCCTTACCTAATCATCACCTAAGGAGTAACAAGATTATTTTTAAGCCATACAATGGTCAATTTTGGATGATAATCGATTGCAGAAAAATTGCTTTTACAATCAGGCATAATGAAACTCTATGATCAACCTAAAATCTGCGCTATGATTTATCATCTAGCTGGCTTGAATGTGGCTGACTCTGAGATAAGTTTGCTATCTTTAAAAGGGTTATTCAATACTAGATTCGTGGAAAGGCATAATATCTGGGCACCCCTCATTCAAAACGTCCAGTGCTTTACTGGCTTCAAGCCTATCGATGCACGTATAGTACTGTCGTAGACTTATGGGTAGCAATCGTGATGCAGAATGATAAGCAATGGTAAGCTTGTCTACCGCGATCTATCAGCAGCACTTTTACAATTGTCGTATCGACTTATAGACTTCTATGGTGATCCAAACCGCAATATTTAATCCCTACCGTCTATAGCCAATGAGTCATCAATCGTATAGTCTGCAAGCTACAACGACCACAAATGAGTCATAAATCGATTAATTACACTGTTTTGCATGCTATCCAGAAAAAATCCCTGTCTCAGTTTCGTGTGATCGACATGTATGTTGACAGAGGAACCATTGATTGTGCAAGATTCTTTAGCTAACGCATAGAAGGTGGATTCGTACACATCGTGGAGGTGCTAAACCGAGAGTTTTCCAAGGAACTGATACTTGCACTCGCCCAAATTTGAAAGTTTACGCTTAATAGTAATGCGAAAAATTTATGATAAAGCTTTATATAATGCATAGCGTGAGACACATGTCCCAGGGGCTTCTCCTTTACAGTGTCCCATCTCTAATCAAAATATTACTTTACCTGATATTTTTTTTATCTATACCGGTTCTTACTCAGTATATCAAATGGGGGAGTTAAGACAAATTTGTAAGCACTTTCTGAAAATTTTGCAGTAGCAACAAAAATGTCTGGGTCAATGCCTCCTCTGTAACGATCCCTAATAACAGGGGTGTGTGTGTCACACGAGATGCGCATGATGTGATCACACT